GGACCTAATGGTCAGGGGTCCCATAACGTTACCTTTAAACTGGAATTAGGTGCTTTGGTTTGTGAACTTTGCCTTGGAAGCAAAACATGTTCCGCTTCCTGTTGAGTGTGTTCCATTTGTAAATTGAGTCCCCCATTGCTATGGGAAAGCACGCCTTGGTTTTAAGAACACTTTGGTTTAAGAACGGACTTCGGGAACGGATTAAGTTAGTAAACCAAGGTACCACTGTAATATAAATATATCCAAGTGGATTTTTAGACTCTCCTGGATCCTGCCTTGCCCCCACATCTTGCCTCCTGGGACAAATATATTGTTTCGCCCCTGTGTGAATTCTTTGATGACAGGTAAGGTTAGTACTGTGCATGATGCTCTGATCATCTTTGAAGAATTAATTAATGATAACAACAGACATTTTTGCCTTTTTGGAAGCTCCTCCCAACTTCTAAGTACTGCATTGGATCCCAGTACGTTTCCGAGCACAATTCAAAGTGTTGGTGTTGACCTTTAAAGCCCTAAACTGCCTTGCCCCAGTATACCTGAAGGAGCGTCTCCACCCCCATCATTCAGCCCGGACACTGAGATCCAGCACCGAGGGCCTTCTGGCGGTTCCCTCCCTGCAAGAAGTGAGGTTACAGGGAACCAGGCAGAAGGCCTTCTCGGTAGTGGCGCCCACCCTGTGGAATGCCCACCCTTCGGATGTGAAGGAAATAAGCAGCTATCTTCTCTTTAAAAGACATCTGAAGGCAGCCCTGTTTAGGGAAGTTTTTAATATTTAATGCTGTATTGTTTTTAACGCTTGATTGGTAGCCGCCCAGAGTGGCTGGGGAAACTCAGCCAGATGGGTGGGGTATAAATATATTATTATTATTATTATTATTATTATTATTAATGATTACTCCACAAATTTTCCTGCATATGCCCTGTCTATATGCAATTCAAGCATTAATTTGGGTTTTTCTTGCAGAAAGAAAGCTAGGAACTGCTCCTAAAGCTCCTTTAATATTCCAAGTCTTTATATGGGTTCTCCGCTGTATGGATTTTTTGGTGGGAATAAAGGCTGGAGATCTGAAGAAAGCTGCTCCCATACACTGCCCATCGATTTGTGAGTTCTTTGGTGAACATTGCGATGGGAACTCTGAGCGAAGCCCTTTCCACACTCCAGGCACTTATAGGGTTTCTCTCCCGTATGAACTCGTTGGTGTGTCGTGAGAGCTGACTTCTCAATGAAGCTTTTTCCGCACTCAGAACATTTATATTGTTTCTCTCCCGTATGAATTCTTTGATGTTTTCTAAGACAATTCTTCTGAGTGTACCTTTTCCCGCATTCCAAACATACATGTGGTTTCTCCTGGATGTGCATTTTTTGATGATTAACGAGATCTGCCTCCTGACTGAGGCACTTTCCAATCAAGCATTTATATTGTGACTCTGCAGTGTGCGATTTCTGGTGATAAATTAGACTAGTACTTTGGCTGAAGTTCTTTCCACACTCTAAACATTTATATGGCTTCTCCCCTGTGTGAATTCTCTGATGGTAAGTGAGATGGGAGCTCTGACTGAATCTCTTTCCGCACTGCAAACATTTATACGGTTTCTCCCCGGTGTGAATTCTTTGATGGGAAGTGAGGTTTTTCTTCAAAGCGAAGCTCTTTCC